ATCAAAATTATAGTTGGTAAATGGGATGCCCATTTTAATTTTTTTTTTCTAAAGTTTGTTACTTATACAGTTATACCACTTACATTTTCATCACTTATGTCAACAGCACAAGAGTTCTAACTTCTAAACAGTGAAAAATCTGTTCTGTAACAAGCTTACCATATGAAAGCTGAAGGTTTTCTAAATAATACAAACTTTGATGAAACAAATTGAAAGTCTAGACACATTGTTTCAGTGTCTGTAAAAAGCCAAGGCACCAAATTTACTATGGCAAAATTTAACTGACTCTCATGTTGTATTAACTTGTAAAATAATTAGTTATTGGCTGAGACCTTAATCAGATTACTGTACACTCCAGCTGTGTTTATTTTGGAAAACCTCAAAAATCTTTTATGGTAATTAATAGCCCAATAAATTAAAAATCCTGACATGTAAGGTTTCTTTTTAATATTAAATAGTAATGTAAGAACAAGGGATGGGACAAATACTGGAAATCGGTAATCAAATACAAATATGAATACTTCATATTTTTATGAATATGAAAACAAATACAGGAAAAATGCTAAGTATTCGAATATATATATATAAATGTATTCATGAATACTTTGTCAGGTAATATGCAATAATGATAAAACAGCAGATGATAAGATTTCAATAATTTTATTTAATGAAACAAACTTTTTAGAAATTAAAACAAACTTTTTAGAAACTAAAACAAACAAAATTTGAACAAATAATAACATTTCAATACTTTTATTTTTAAAAATACATTAACAAAGTTTTAGATCAAAAACTATTTTTAAAAGAGTTTTACAGATATTATAACTGTCCATTGTTCTTTATGAACATCAGTCTCTCAAATGTCATGTTAATTAGGTGGCAGTGATCAGCTCTGAGGGTTTTGCATCCGATGCTAAACAAACTCTCAACTGGGCAGCGGATGCTGGAACAGTCAGGTAGAATTTGGCTAGTAAAGATAGGGTAGGAAAGTTTTTTAATGGATCTTCCAATAATTTAGAGGATTGCCTTCTTCAGGAATGCTAGGGCCATTGAGGTAGGTGTTAATGTCTGTATTTTCTGAAGATGAAGTGGCTGGTTTCTTGGAGGCAGAAAAGAAACTAAAGAGCTTAGTTCTTTTGTGAGGGGGGGGGGGATTTACAGTCCTTTATTTGGTTCAGCGGTTCTAGGATTAGTTGTGGAGGAAACTTTCTTGATGTCTTGCTGCAGGAGCATTTGATTGGATTTCTAAACCATAGGTCCAGTGAAACACCAGTCAAGTTTAAATCTGGGATCCACACAGCCAAGCAGAAGACACTTTGTTGATCATACTGAATCAGCAGGGTATGAACAGATTTCTTCAGTGCAGAGACTAAATTGAAATTATATCTGGACTGCATGCTGTCAATCACAGTCATCAGTCCATCAACACATGGCACTACATAACTAAAGGTAACTATTGTCTGATCCTGGATGAAATCTGTTGCCTCTTCAAAAGGCATCAGTATTTTCATCAAATCTGCAAGCATAGTTCAATCACGAACAGTAAGTTTCGTGTACCAGTATCTAGATTATCTAACTTCTCCTGGGGAATTTTCAATAAAGATTTAATCATCTTAATTTCTGGGTTTCATCATGTTGGTGTTACTGACTGAACTCTGGCCCCTCCCTCAAGTAGATCAGTTGCTTGCATTGAGTTTCAAATGTAGGGCATGATAGCTGATTCTCTGGAAATTACTATCAGCAGTGGTCCAGCTTCTTTCATGCTATCTCTGACCACAAACTGTAGTGTGTGGGAGAAGCAGAGGTCATGTTCAGGAAGAAACTTGGATAAATTGTCTGCTGGTTTAGATTCATCCAAAAGTTCATCTTTTGGGTCACTATCTGTAGATGAGATATAACCATCTCTCACATTAGGTAGTGTTTGTGGTTCAAACCCAGGCAAGCAGAAAGCCTTTATCATGTTGGATGTATTATCAGCTGTCACATATGACACCTTGTTGTTGATGTTAGAGATTTATTATTTTATCATATTGAGCTGCAATGTTAACAGATGTGTGATGCCCCTTGAAATGCCAACATGACTGTTTGCATTTTCCAGTCGTGTGTAAAATGAACAGTGAATTCAAGGAAGCTGCACATTTGTCTGCAACTCCAGATATCCACAGTGACATTGATGTTGAATACAAGTTGCAATAGAGATGACTTTTTATTGAACTTCATCAAACCTGCTCTCAATCAACTTTGTGACAGATGCTTGTGACTGGGAAGAATATACGAGAATCTGTGGCTGCCATTAGATCTTTAAAATCTTTTGACTCAACCACTTACAAGGGTTGCAGTTTACCAATAATAAAATTGATGAGTTTGTTAGTAATGTGCTTCTGACAAGGGTGTGTAGATTTATATTTATTTGATAATGTATAGTTTATAATAAAACATAATAATAAATGTATCATAATAAATAAATAAATATCTAAGTTTATTATAGTTTATAATAAAAATAATAAAAGCATACAATACTAAATAAATTTAAATGTAACATGCATGAGAAATTTAGTTTACATATATTATGTTGTATAATTTACATAGAATATAGTTCATATTAACAAAAATAATAAAAAAGGCTTACCTTCAGTTTTGACAGCAGGTTAGAAGTGGGTCTTCTTGAAGTAGAAATATAGATATTTATGCTTTGCCTTGATGTGACCAGATCTAGCAGTAGAAAATATGTACCACTGAAGGCAGTTTAGTTACCATCTCAAATTTTCTCAAGTGACTTGATTGGATTAATAACCATGTAATACAATAGCTTTTAAGGTGGTTGAAGAGTATTGAACTGACTTAACGTGCTTCGAATGTAATAATGACAGTCTAGAAATTGGATGAGTACAAAAGTTGACATTTACTCCTACAATATTAAGTATTCATTAAATCATTCAATGAATATGAATACTATTCCATTGTATTTGTATACAAATACTTTAATTTTCCATTCCAAAGTAATCGAATACAAGTGTGAATGTTCCCAAAGCTGTATTCTAATACTTTCGATTATAAATACCCCATGTCTGGTCTTTTTCTTTTATCAATTCCTGAAAAAAAATTATTGAGGGTTTGTATACACCCTAGAACTGTGCCTACTTATCCAGCATTAAAGAATACAGTTTCTTAATTTTAAATTAGAAACATAAGACAGTGTAAAAACAGTAGATTTACACTTTATTTAACACTTAAGTAGCCAAAAAAGTTGGTGGTGGATGCTAGAAGCCAGTTGCCTTCCCTCTAGTTACGAGTTAGACATTATGTAGCTTTGTGCCTAAACAAAAAAAAAAACAAACATTCATAGGTTCAAGAAATCAATTTAACACAAAGATATGACTCGCTATAACCCAAGCACTTTAGCAGGTGGATCTTCAACTTCAGGAGCAAATTGAAGAAGAAAAGTTCATCTTTAGAAAACAAACATGGTGGCAATATTTCAATTACTTGAATAATTGGAATAATCAAACAATAAATCATTGAAAACTCAAAATTTTTATTATCATTTTATTGTAAAATGCTATAATAATATGGTATTTTGGATTAACCAGTAGTAATTAATATAATAGTGTCTTGTAATTTATCAAACAATCACTTCCAGGGTGAGATAGAAACCAATAATCTGGTGCCTGGCCAGAACATTTTGTAACTTACAAGTTATCCGAAACACGAATACTTAAAAAGAAATAATAACCTTGTCACTATCATACCATATAGTATAATAACAAATTAGGAGAAACAAAAATGCATAAGATTATACAAAATAATAATTAATATTAAACAATTCTCAAGAATCATGTCAAATCATAAATAATAATCAAGTGGATATCTGCATTAAACTTGTTACTTTAAATTATCAACAAATATATCTTGCATATCTCTGTCTGATTGCTCTTGCAAGTCTCGTGTATTTACAGAGCAAACGTTGCTTTTGTTTCCTTGCCACACCATGAGATTTTATATCACATGACTAACAACTGGCATTTCTTTTACATGATAACACATGAATTTAGTATCCATACCTTATTGCTCAGGGAACCTTGTGTCAGTTTTCTTAATATGCACAAGGTGGCAGGTGAGCTACCATTTTCGACAACTAAAAGTATAGCTGAACTAAATGATAATAAAAAATATGATATAAACAATAAACAAACCATAACTACTGATAAAATTGGAATCACTATCTCGCAGCTTTTTCAATGTGTTTTGTTTAGTTTTTTTTTTTTTTACTACCATGCAGAAATATTTGATAAGACACACCTTTAAGGAATTCAAGAAATGATTCATAATAACTTTAGACCACTTTTTATATGCATTTATATATAAACTAATTAATGAATATGAATCACTTTTGATGAAGATATTGACCAAAAACTTGCATTGATTTAATAGCAATATTTTAAAATAAAAAGTTTTGATAGTACTTTGATCATATTTATCTTTTTTACATGTATTAGTGCTGTTGTTTTCTTTCATTCAGCTTTATTAGAATATGATTGCTGGAGAAAAGTGTTAGGATATAGGAAATTATGAAGTCTAGGTTTTAGACTTTTTGTCAAAATGACATCAGGAAAGCTACATTTTGTACATTATTTCATGTGTGTGTCATTAGTTTAAATATCTTTGATAGCTTTCATTGCATTATTAATAGTAATAACTAATATTTATAACTGCTAGATTCTTCACTAAAAAGGTTGAATTAATGTACTTGTGAATTGTTGCCGAGATTTAAAACATTATATGACTGAAAATGTTTGAGTATTTAACTTTTACTGTCCTTACTAAAACATGTATATTTATAACTATACATCAAAATTGTTTGTTTTTGAAATTTAGGAAGTACTGATTTTACCATGCATCTTGGTAGTTAACCTAGTACTTTTTTCTTACTGAACTGTGTTCTCTGTTTTACAGCTGGAGGTGTCGGTAAAAGTGCCTTGACAATCCAACTCATACAAAACCAGTGAGTATTATAGTTTGTTTTTTTAAATAGTGGTTGTATGTATTTCTCACTTATTTTAGTTATTTTGTGTGTGTTTATCTCTCATGAGATTAGAATATTGTGTGTGAAAAAACAAAACAACAACAAAAAAACTAAAATTTTCACCTTAAATTATGTGCATCTGATTTTATTAAATAATTTAAGTAAAAAGTATGTTGTTTTTGTTTGAATTATGACCAGCTTCTAGACTATTATTGTTATTATTACCATCTTTTTTTTTATACCTTAACATCATATTCTGTAGGAATTTTCTTTGGATTACAAAAAATTGGCAAGTTACGTGTTACATGCAAGCAACAAAAAGACACTTGATTATGTACCTTGTATGACTGTAAAAAATGTAATGTTAGCATTCTTTTACACAAAGGAGAGGACAATGCTAAGCTTACACACTAGTTATGACTAGGGACTAATTAGGGACATAAAGGGTTTTATTGTAATACGACTTCTATCTTGTTCAACACTAGATATGACTAGGGATTAATTTGTGACTCTATATAGATCTGTCATCATACAGCTTTCAAAGTCTTTTTCATTTTAAATTACTATGCCAGCAAAATAAAATTGAAATTTTTGGGTTGTATTGAAACCTTGTTTTATATTAAGTTAATATTTTATAAAAATCATTATAAAACATACACCCTTAAAATGCATACATGTATATAGGTATGCGTGTGTTTGTGCATGGAGATGATGTTAAATAATTTAACAACATTTATTTTTGAACGTTTTGAAAATCATTTAAGGCTCATTGCACTGCACACAATTCCATGCAATATGCAGCATATCTCTGGCATTCTAGTAGTCATTGTAGCAGAAGTTCAGGTCTAAAACACAAGTAAACAATTTTGTTAACATAATTTCCTGACATCCTTTATGTTACGGGTATATAATAGGTCGTCAAGAAATTCATGTCTTTTTTTTTTTTTTAGATGAAAAAAAACCCAAACAACTTGTATATCAAAACAAAACATTTCTTAAATGAAATAATCTTCATTCTTATCAATGATACTTTTCCATCATACAATCAGGTTGTAAATGCCCTGATTAAAGAAATCACTTGGCTTTGAAACAAAAAAAAAACATGTCAATGTCCTCTTTAACACTTTCTACATTGTCAATACATTTTCCCATTAAGGTGGTGTTGCAGCAAACCAAAAAGATTGTAATCTGATGGTACCATATCTGGACCCAACTTTATAATCTTATGTTGCATCAAATGTGCCACATGTGGACGTGCATTATCATGGAGAAGAACAACATCTTTCCGATTGATGAGTAAAGGTTGTTTCTGATGAAGG